GTCAAATTTCATGATAATTCAAAGAACCTGCTTTGTGTTCCTCTATCTAAAGCATTGAGGTCAGGATGGGAGTCCAGGTCAAGTGCAAATATCCTGACAAAACTTGAGCTAAAAATGAAAGTATTGGATTAGTTTGGTTTGAAGTGAACTTGTGTGTCTTGTTTATACAGCTCAACTCTAGGAAGGTCACTTAGCTTATTTATTTTGTTAAACAGGTTTTAAATTTTCATTCAGTAGGAAGACATTTGCTTGATTTTTCAGAGGGATAAATAAGCCCACACTCTGCTATACTTTTGGTTGAGTAGATTTTTACAGCTTTTGAGTCATGCCCAAGAGAGAACTCCAAAAGCCTAATAGGTCGCTTCAGAGTAAAGGAATGATATTGGAAAATGACAGTTGGTAGCTGAGAATTCTCTTCATTTTTTTATTGATAAATTGACAAAGTTAAGCTTCTTTTTCTTTTTCTTTTTTCTTTTGACAGGCAGAGTTAGAGAGAGAAAGCTCTTCCTTTACCATTGGTTCACCCTCCAATGGCCACTACGGCCGGCGCACAGCGCTGATCCGAAGCCAGGAGCCAGGTGCTTCTCCTCATCTCCGATGTGGGTGCAGGGCCCAAGCACTTGGGCCACCCTCCACTGCACTCCCGGGCCACAGCAGAGAGCTGGCCTGGAAGAGGGGCAACCGGGACAGAATCCGGCGCCCCAACCGGGACTAGAACCCAGTGTGCTGGCGCTGCAGGCGGAGGATTAGCCTATTGAGCTGTGGCGCCGGCCAAGCTTATTTTTCAATGCTTTCTTTCATTAAAGGCATTGAATATGATTTTAAACTCAGTAAGAGGTCATAAAGATTATACGACTTGGTTTCATTTTATTTTGTTCTATATTTTAGGCTCAAAAAGCTGTTTTACTCCTCAAAGCTGAAGAGCTCAATGTTTTGGGCCCTCTTTGATCGAAAGGGAGATTTCTTGAACCCAGTCTATTCTTTGGAAATAAGCTGACCCTAGATAAATCTTGGAAAGTTCGTACACCTTCCAAAATATGTAATTTATAGCTTATCTTGGCAAAGTATAATCTGATAGAACACAATATAAAGTAATCTCTGTGAATCAGTCATAAACACCAAAGACTTTTCATTGTGAATCCTTTAGCTCTTTTCAAGAGGAAATGTTTTCCCCTTTAATACAATTTGATAAGTGAATATGGGTGAGGTTGTTTTGCTTTCAAATGTGTAGTGTCAGACTTGGTACTTCCAAGAATCTTCTTTCCTCACCTGCAGCCTGGACTGTGTCTGCATAAGCTCCATTTATTTCCTTAGATCTTTTTAATCTTTTCTCTCTTCCTTACAGTTGGCTGTGTGCATCTTTGGTAGTAAGTGCTACTGTGGCAGTGTGTGGTTTTTCCCTCTACCACTATAGTTAAGGATGTGGTAGTGTTTCTATTAGAAAGATAAGTTTGCAGGAATTTGTAATTTGTTTTAATAAAAGTTTTAGGAATGTTACTTTGCACATTGGATTTTAATGGTATATTTCTGTTTTCTGATTTTAAAAAGTGGGATTGAATATTTTTGCTTATCCTGTAATATCTTCCACTTAATGTTTCAGAGTGCCTTCCTACCCATTTAAGGTTGGCCTAGTGAATGGTGTTATTCCTGTGTGATGGAGATCTCGGAGAGATTGAGTTATCTAAGGTTACACAGTGAAGGGGCAGTGAGGGGAATGAGGTTAAATAAAAACCCAGGGGCTTATCAACAGCCATGTTCAGCCTAGCTGTCCTATTTCACATGTTGCAGGGATTACTCTGTTAATTTATTCTCTTTGGCTACTTTGGTGGGTGGCCTAGAGGATTAGTTTGCAAACTTGGATAAACTTTCTTCTGTTTCTGATAAGCTACTTGCTTAGTACTTACATGGAGGCATGGTGGCCAGGGCAGACTAGCAGGGTGGGTAGCAGAACAAGCAGAAACTTGGCTCAAAGGCCTTTCATGTGTCTCATAACCATTCCTTTGTGTTAGCACACGTGAGCTTAGGTAGCATTTCAGGCCCTCCAAATAATAACTCTGCATTTTAGTAGCAATCTTTCTGAACCATTGGTTTCATGTCTCAATAAATTAAAGAAATATACATATCAAATACGTCAACATAGCATGGTTTTTAACTTGATCTGCTAGTTGGCAGTAGGAAAAAGACATTTTCTTGTACTACTATATGAACTAAATGCCCAATCTAGTTAAATTATCTAATATGTTACTATAATATATTTATGGATAGAGTAGTTTGCTTAGATGAATAGGTTAAAAGAGAATAGGAATTATTTTAATGCTAAAATGACCACACAGCATATATATGCCAAATTATATTCCAAGAATCTTTCATTCTTATACTGCAGAGGCCTTTGTCAATGCCTCCAAAAGTGACTTAACATATGCCTCTCCAGTGACATTTGGATCCTTACTTTGCCTTATCTTTTATCATTCTTGAAACACAGTCAATTTTAGACATTTTTCCAGTTTAGATTTTGTTAGTAGTAGAGAAATATTTTTGTGGTTACCAGTGGTTTATTATTCTTTAGTGGTTTGGGGTGGGAAGCTGCTTTGACAGTGTTTGAGGTCTCTTGAAAGGATTTTCGAGATCATTTTAAAGTAATTTATTTCTTGACTTTTCTAGTGGCATCTGTAATGGGCCAGCAGAATGCAAAGTCCTGATTAACTATCATGCCGATCAGTGGGAAGTTCTCTAGTGGACGCATGAGCATGTGCATTTTGTTCTAAAAACCCAACTGCATAAACCCTGCAGGGGAAGAGAGGGCACATGTGGAAGAGGCCTGGGCTGGGCATCTGTGCTCCTTGTGAAGAGTGTGACGCAGCTGCAAGAGCGGTGGCTGCGGAGGCCAGGCTGGCAGGTGGCATTCCCAGGAGACGGAAGGGACAGCTGGGAGCTACCCTGCGCTCCCAAGCCCTGGCCTGGTGTCTTGGGGTCAGTTTAGAGTTCTCTGCATAGCTGTATAAATTTTTAAGTGTGTAAAATTGGAGCTTATTCAAAGAAGAGTGGTCAGGATGGAGCGAAAACTTGAAACCATGTTTATGTAAGGAAGAGCCGGAGGAACGGAGATGTTTATTCTGGAGGGGAGGGTACAGAATCTCTGTCTTCACAGATAGAAAGGGCTGTCATGTAGAAGAAGGCTTAGATTTATTCTGCAGGCTCTGGAGGATAGAGAAAGGGCCAGTGGAGCAGATTTAGGCACACTGCAGCAATATTTGTATGCAAGACTGCCTCAAAATGAGCAACTTTGAATCTTAAAGACAATCAGGCCTAGGCAAATAATTGTTATCATATAAAGAATCCTGGGAAAATCCTACAAGACGGAAGTCGGAAGTCTCCCAAGTCCTCTCAGCTCTAGGATCTTGGCTCTCTGTATCTCACTATCTCTGTCCTGCAAGCACAGTCCTTGACTACCTAGCACAGTGCAGGGGTGGGGAGAACTAGGCACACTAGTGGGAAACCAGGCACGCAACAACCATGGCACAGGATGAAGAGTGCTGGGCCTGAACTGGTACAAGTGGTCTCCGAGCCCCCAAAGTGGGTCTGAGATGCTTTCCTTGGATGGCAGTGTCTGAGCTGAGTTGTGAGTGGTGATACGAGTGTAGAGGTAGGACCATACAGCCTGAGAGTTGAGGCAGTGAGGGAGACAGTGTGAGTGCAGGGAGTGGGACGAGAAAACAATGGAGCAGGACCTGGAGCAGAAAGCGCCTTATGTGCCAAACTGAACGCTTGCACTTAGGAGTTGAAGCTTGGGAGGAACCTTATTGTGTTACGTATTTGAAAAGTGGCTCACATAATAAGGCTGATGGACTGGTCCCAACAGTGATGGTTCCCAGGAGCACCTTCTCCCCGACTTTCAGGTTTCAGGGTCTTAGAGTCTTCTTGCAATTTGATAATGAGAATAAACTCCATTAATCTCCTTGTAAATTCTTTTATTGCCATGTCTGTAGTGCCATAGGGCTTACCAGCCTGAGTCCAAATGCAGAGACATTGACAAGGACACCCAGTCTTCACTCAGGCTGCTGCTCAAGGCCTCTGGACCCCCGCAGAGGTCTTACCCAGCTATTCCTGGGGCTCCTGAAGGATGCCTAGTGGGAATTCATCACCTGACCCCTCCTTTGTGCTCCCTTACTCCTTGTTGCTAGTGTTGTCTGAACCCACCTGAGGGTGGTGCCTCCCCATTTCAGTCCTGCTGGTGACAGTGCCCCCGGGGCGGTGCTGAGGTCCCTGCCCGGCACCGATGCTCCTAGGACTGCAGCCCTCGCAGTGCTTGGGTCACACTGTACTTCTCCAGGTCTTTCCTGCAGCACAGCCATGCTGTTCCCAGCAAAATCAGGACAAATGGTCGGCCTCCTTGCCTCGTGTGACCTCTGTCCTCTGAAGTCAGACCTCCTAGGGTGTTGTGTCTCCCCAAATCCCTCTTCAAACAAGCTCCTGTGGTCTCTGCCTGTACCCCTGAGGCTGTGGGACCAGTAGCTGAGAGAGACACCTGGGGTTTCTCTCCATTTAAGTTTGCCGCACAGTGTCTCAGAGGTGCTCCCCATCTGGCCAGCTGTCCCTCAGCAGAATGGTGCGGCCAAACCACAATCCCAGCGGTTTCACCACTGGGTCGAAAGATGCACCTGCAGCTGAGATTTTCCTTATTGTTGGTGATGACTTTGGGTTTGGCAAATCGAGAGCTGCTTCTTGTATGTCCTCTCATTGAATCACCCTGTCCCCCGTGAGGGACAACCTCATTAGCATCCTTAGTTTGTAAATGAGGATGAAGCTGAGAGGAGTTAATTCATTCTAGGTCAAACAGCTTGAATTCAAAGCCAGGCTGGTCTGGAACATTCCAGACACCAAGTACTTCACAACTCCCAACAGGTGAACACTGAGTAACTTGGGATAATCAGGTTGACATTAAGTGTCTACATGGTCCTTTGTCATCTTTGCACAAATTCAGAGTTGGCTTTTGCATCCAGGGCTGGGAAGAAACGGCGGATGCTGCCATTTCCCACCTGCTGAAGACCTGCTTGTCAAAGAGCTCAAAGGAGCAGGCTTTGAACCTCAGCAGCCAGCTGGACGCGCCCAAAGACACCAGCCGACTGAAGAAGCACATCACCTTGCTCTGCGACAGGTTGGCCAAAGGTGGCCGTCTCTGCTTAAGTACTGACGCGGCGGCCCCGCAGCCCATGGTCATGCCAGGTAAGGGCTCCGGCCACGCTCCCCACGCACAGCTGTGCTGCCCCCAGGTTACAGGAATGTGTCTGTGGTTGTATATGGGGTCTCAATTTCATATTAAAGTGATGATAGCCAAGAAAATTGCTTTCACGTGTCCCCTCAGATATCCCAGGATAACCACTTGGATAAATATTCTCAGGGTATTTGCTTGCTAAACAGTTCTGAAATGGTATGTTTTTTTCTTTCCTTTTAAATATATGATCCATTTTGTTTTGCTTCTAACCAATAAAAAGTGGATTAGCGAATAAAAGTATTTTAAGGCAAAGTTTTACTAAATGTGATCTCGTGACACTATATTTCATAAATGTAAATAGCATAATACAAGCAGCTAATGGGATCCAGATGAGATGAGTCCCTTGGCTGTCTGCTTGTATCGTGATCATTGGAATAATGCATGTGCCACAGAGGGAAAGATCATGGATCAAGAGATACGAGCAGGCTTCAGAGGTGATGCACCTGTGGCCAAGGTGGAGTGAGATCCCGGTGAGCCCTGCCTGGCAGGCAGCGAGGGGCATGGGCATTAGGTCTGCTCTTCCTGCGGTGAGCAGGGCTGAGCAATCAGATGTACCATACTCGGGTTCCTTGAAAGCAGCAGTGCCCAACTCTCATTTCCCTTCTCCTGTCTATGGCAAAAGGCAGCAGGATAACACGAATGGGTGGGTGACATCTGGCAGCTGTGGCATCCATGTCCTCCTCAAGCAAGGGGCGTGGTATGAGATGTGATATCATTTTTCTCTTCTTCCTCCTTACTCTCCTTTTGTTCATTCCCCCTCACCTCCATATGGACGCTTTGGCTGTTGCCCTCTTTTCACCCACAATCAGCATTCCTAGAAGCAAAAAGGAATGCAAGCAAAATCCTAAAACCATAAACGTGGAGGCAGTGTAGCATCATTAATAAGCAGACTCTGGAAGCAGACAGGCCCATGTTTGGGGCCTGCCTCTATCCCGTCTTCCTTATCGACTCTCGATGTGTTACTTACCTTTCCAGTCTCCCTTTCTCTCTCTAGAAGGTGCTTTTAGGAATGCTTGCCTTGTTTCTGGGGACTTACGTGTTTGTAAGGCAGCTAGCTCGATGCTTAGAATAGAGTCACACTTAGAAACTCCTACTGTTATTGCTACCATTGTTATGGCTGTACGTATAATTGAGGCTCTAAATGCAGGGGTGAGAAAACAGGTGGTTTGAGATCATGGGATTTTATATTCTCTGATTCGAAATATTTTTATCTTAACTACACACAGATTGAACCCAGCATGTACTCCCCAAAGACTGTTTCTTATTTGGCTGTTCAGAATAGAAAGGCCTTGCTGCAGAGAAGTTCTGATGCTGTTTGTCTTAGTGGGTGCTGTCTTCATCTTGCCCTTGTAATATGCCCCTACCTGCTCCTTGGGCTTCCTCTCATCTGGCCTTGTCCACTGAAACAGGATTATTTTCCTAAGAAATAAGTGTTATGGCTTAATGAGATGACAAATGAAAAATATTTACTATTCATCTGAATTCAATCTGTGATGGGAGTTCAAAATGTTCATGGAAAATGGAATTCAGAGATGAGTTTACTTTGGGGCAAAAAATTGAGAAATCTGTTTAGGGTTTCCAATATTCATGGAAAATGTGTATTATGAAAAAAAACTATGCATGGATTTCAAAAATCTTGGGCACTATAATAAACTTACCCTTTAATTCCATTTCCCATGAACTTTTTGCAGTAACCTTGTATGACTCACCTTCCATGCCTGTCCACAGAAAAGTAAAGGGGGCTTGAGGGAAAATGGCAAGTATATGAAAGAGGACATTTGAAGGGGATTGGGTCAGCTGTCCTGATTACTGGTTTCCTGTCAGTCCAGGCCTCTGCAGCCCTGAGCAACCTGTCCAGACACTGTCTGAGCCTCCTTGGGAACAGCCATTAGGAGACGAGTGGCAGTGCTGTGAGCACCAATCTGACACCTGGAGAGAACACGTGGTCCTTCAGTCACACTTGTCGACCATGGAACTTTAGTCATGTTCATTCCAATAACTAGATTTGTAAGCAACTTGAGGGTTATGTCTATATCTAGGATATGGAACATTTCGGTCCTCAGTGCTGAGTTTTTGAATGTTTAGAAAGCAGGAGCAGAAGAAGGAAGAATGAAGAAAGGCAGAAAGATGAAAATGTATTTACAGCCAGGAGATAGTAAACCAGGCTTATGCCTCTCACGCCCAACACTGGAGAGACGGAGGCTGTTGGTATGCCTTTTTTCTTTGCTTGCTGGTGATCCCCTGTGGGGCTCTGTGATTGCGTGACACTCAATCTAATCACAACAATGAGGCCTTAACAAATTATTCAATCCATGTTCTTTGACACTAACATGCTCAATTATTGCCTGTAACCCAGAGCTCACAATGTTTCATGCACTTTATCCCTGGACTTAGCACATTTTTGAGGTAGAAAAGACATGTAGAATTATTACTGTATTACAAATAGAAAACAGGGGCAGGGAAAACAAAATCTCTTGCCCAAAGTTACATAGTTACTGGAAGGATTCAGTCTAGAATCCAAGTCTCCTAGCCCACGGTGCATCCCTCTAGACCACACAGACCACAGTGGTGCACAGTCGTTTCTGGCCAGATCCTCCTCCTGGGTAAGCTATTCTTGATCTGGCCTCTTGTCACTTAAATGGGTCCAGCAGCGGGGGAGGAGGAGAACAAATAGTTCCACATAGTAGTCTCATTCCTTTGCCATGAAGAATATATTAAAGGTTTATTTTAAACTTGTTTTGTGCTTAATTTTTATTTCTATAAGTGACATGATATCCCAGAGATAATAAATACTTTTATTTCTGCTTCAGCCCCTTAAATCATGCAACTTAGAATGTTAGTTGACCTTAAATAGTTGTATCTGAATGTTTGAAGGTAAAACAGCACAGCAGAAAGGAGGAAGGAGGGTCTCGCTAAACACATAAGCGCGCAGGCATTTTTCAGCCCTGATCTAGTTTTATGCTCTCGATGGGAACCTAGAAATTAGCTGGTTCAGCTCCCTCACTTAACAGCTGAGGTAAGGAAGGCCTAAGGAGGGAAAGTGACAAGTGGTTAGGATTAAAAGGCTGGAGTGTGTGTAGTTTTACCATGTTCCCTATTAAATTGCAGATGGATAAACATCTCCGAACAGAAAGCCCTTGGTCCTTTCTAGCCTTGTGACCTTATGAGCCCAGCACCTTGGAGATGCCCTTTCGCTGCTCCAGCGAAGGCCACGATGACGGCATCCTCCCTGGCGTCCAGGCTCTGGAAGTCTTTTCCACCAGGAATTGCCTGGTGGATTTTTCTCTGCATTTCTTCTGCTTATCTGCTGTCAGATTTTGCTTAACCTTTTCTGGGAACATTTTTTTTTTTATTGCAGAACCATCAATCTATTTCTCTTATTTGCAGCTTTGATATCTGTATCTTTTCTGCTGAGAAATACAGTTTGTAAGAAATCTACCTATATGGAAAGGTCTCTTTTTCCAGTCTTAGCTGTGTGCATTGTACCCTTAGAGCAAGAGTCATAGAGGGCCACTGGGACAGCATTAAAAACACCAGGGCACTGTTAAAAAATCTGAATGTGAATGACACAGTGGTCTGTCACCTTCTCATACTTGTATTTACCTGTTTTGTACTTGTAGGTATTTGGGGCTAAGTATTTGCCTTAGTTTGCTGAAGGCTTCCTTTTATGGCCTCCATGTCTAGGACAATATGTCAAGGACAGTCTTTTAGCAGCCCTAATTACAGCCTAGATTTGAATCTTTCAAGCACATATGCACAACTAAATATATGTGAGGACATGGGTAGTCCTATCATTTAACCCATGATTTTGGAGGCTAATCATTTTAGCCTCATGGATATTAGAATATGAATAATTTTTAAAGGTTTTTTTTTTTTTTTTAGATTTTATTTATTTATTTGACAAAGTTACAGACAGAGACAGATAAGAGAAAGGTCTTTTTTCCGTTGGTTCAGTCCCCAAATGGCTGCAACGGCTGGAGCTGTGCCAGTCCAAAGCCAGGAGCCAGGAGCTTTTACCTGGTCTCCCATGTGGATGCAGGGGCCCAAGTACTTGGGCCATCCTCCACTGCCTTTCCAGGCCACAGCAGAGAGCTGGACTGGAAGAGGAGCAGCTCGGACTAGAACCAGTGCCCATATGGGATGCCGGTGCCGCAGGCGGAGGATTAACCTTGTGTACAATGGCGCCAGCCCGGGAATATGAATCATTAATAACCTCATGATCATGTCTTATTTATTTTGGTTAAGCATCTTCATCTAAGTGGTGTTGTGCTCACCAAGAAGCAGTATAGGTAAAGGATAGCATGTGCTGTGCAAGCTTGGCCAACAAATTGTGTGAGCGCCCAGCAAGGCAGGCAGAGCAAGCTGGGTGAGGAGAAAGGGCTTAAAGATGGTGCAGGCTGACCAAGAGCTGCAGTGAAATGTTCTCTTCATGAGATCACGTGCCTCAGAAGTCATAATGGGACATAGTTTCAGCTGTATTTGCTTTGGCATTGCCAGGTTTCTGGGCCAGAAACAAGCCAAGAAAGAGAGGGGGAAAAAAAGGAAGCAAAAAGATGATAAACATGAGTGTCTTCATGAACATGAATCAGAAAAATTATTATTTTGAGATGTAATGTGGACCACCCAGGTATAAGAATTTTTTATATCTTTAATATATTAAATAGATAGGAAAACAGAGTATAAATCTCAATACAGAGTATACTTTTGAATAAGGTATCTAGCCTATCTTTTTGGGAGTTTTAAAATTTAAAATTCCCACTTTTTAGTATTTTAAATCTGAGTTAGTGACCATTTTCCCATAAGGGTTTGATGTTATGTTGAGGCTACTTCCAAATGACACATTTCAACAGAATTTAAATTTAATTCTCCAAGATCTAAGATGCTTGATAAGACATTTGGTGTTTACTTTCATATGGTCAGTATAATTTCACTGTTGGTTCTACACTTTGAT